CCTCTGGTGGCTGCCTAGGCACAGTGGTGAAGCGCTGACACTTGTCGCACTTCTTAGCGAATTCCTAGGCGTCCCTCATCATGTTAGACCAGAAGTAGCCTTGTTTGAGCACCTTGTGGGCGAGTGAGCGTCCTCTAGAGTGATTTTCACAAACTCCTTCATGGATCTCCCGCATGGTATAGTCAGCTTCTTCATGTGAGAGGCATCTTATGGCAAGGAGTAGCCTTTCTTGTACAGGGTGCCTTGTAGGACAGTAAACTTGGAGGCTCTCATCCTGAGCTTTTTGGCTTCTAGAGGATCCTCTGGTAACGCACCTTCTTGGAGGTATGCCCTTATTAGAGTCATCCAGTTTGACGCAGCTGATGCACAGTTGATTTTTTTAGCTTCCATGTCTAACTTGTTTGGTCTGAACTGGTAACCAATGAATGTTAGGCCTCCTGGTGGGGCTTCCAAGGATGAGGCGAGCCTGGTGAATGCATCAACAACCATGTTGTCTTCTCTCGGGATGTGATAGATCTAGAAGTATCAGAACTTTGTAATCAAGCTTTTACCATGCCAAGGTATTCCTGTATTTTGGCTCATTTTACTTCAAACTCGCCCTTTACTTGATTAACAATTAGTTGAGAGTCACTGTAAGTGGCGAGGTATTGGGCTTCCATTTCAGCTGCCAATCTTAATCTAGAGAAGAAGACTTCATATTCTGCCTCATTGTTAGAAGCAGTAAAGTGGAGCTTCACTGTATACTTGAGAGGAGTACTATCGGGGCTGATCAAGAATAGGCCTGTTCCTCCTCCTTCGTTGGTCGAGGAATTATCTACATAGAGCTTCTAGAGTGGTAGAAATGAGGGCTCAGAGATTAAAGTGGGAGCCTAGATGCCAGACTGAGCGCTTAGGAGTGCTTGGGCACCTAAGGAGGAAGGTTGACTACCTGAGGAGGAGAGCTAGGCACCTAAGAATGAGGGCTGGGTGCCTGGAGAGGAGATTTGGGTGTCTGGGGTGGACAGCTGGACGCCAGAAGGGGTCTGGGTGCCAGGAGTGGCATGCGTGCCAGGAAAGGCCTGGGCACCAGGAGGGGCCTGGGAGCCAGGAAGGGCCTGGCAGTCAAGCTGGGCGCCAGGAAGGGCCTGGGCGCCTGTGCTATCCTGGTTATTGGTCTAGATGCCTCATTATTCTCATCAAGCATTCGGCTGTCCTCGTTGGGCGCTTGATTGCTTTGTGTGTCTAGGCGCAACATTTGAAGTTTGGAAAACTCATTGGTCTCTTCCTCTTCTGGTGTAAGCTCAGCAATAAAATATGTCAATGCTTGTGCTTTGATGGCCGCCCTTGGTTGGTATTGAATGTCGAACTCCCCAAGTTCCACTGCCCATTTGAGGAGTCTCCCGGATACATCTGGTTTTTTCAAGACTCTCTTTAGAGGCTGATCTGTGATCATAACAACGGTGTGACTCTGAAAATAGTGTCGTAAATGCCTAGCTGTTGTGATGAGGGCAAGTGCTAGCTTCTCTAGCCCCAAATACCTGATTTCTGCTCTTCGGTAGGCTCTACTCACATAATAGACGGGCTTTTACACGTCATCATTGGTCCTGACGAGGACAGAGCTTACTGCCGAGGGAGAAGTAGCAAGGTATAGGTATAATATTTCTCCTGATACAGCATGTGACAAGAGATGAGTCTTAGCCAAATAGGCTTTGAGCCTTTTAAAGGTCTCCTTTGCCTCAGGTCCCCACTCGAAAGCCTTTCGGAGAATCTTGAAGAAAAACAAGCATTTGTCCGCAGACTTGAAAACAAACTTGTTGAGTGCTGCAATCCTCCCATTGAGGCGTTGGAGCTCCTTGGTCAAGGAAGGCGACTTCATATCTAAGATGATCTTGATCTTGTCCGGGTTCGCCTCAATTCCCCTTTGATTAACCATAAAACCAAGGAATTTTCCTGACCCAACGCCAAAGGGGCACTTATCCGGATTCAGCTTTATGCGGTACATCCTGAGAACATTGAAAATTTCTTGGAGGTGGTCGATACGGTCTATTTTTGCGAGACTCTTTACCAACATGTCGTCCACATACACCTCCATTGTTTTTCTGATCTTTGACTGGAATATTTTGTTCACCAGTCGTTGATAAGTTGCTCTTGCGTTCTTCAATCCGAAGGGCATGACCCTGTAGTAATAGGTCTCATTTGGAGTGATAAATGATCTCTTCTCTTGATCTGGAGGGTGCATGCTGATCTGGTTATACCTAGAATATGCATTCAGAAAGGTGAGTAATTCATGTCCTGCAGTGACGTCAATGAGGAGGTTAATTCATGGTAGTGGGTAACTATCTTTCGGGCATGCCTTGTTGAGCTTAGTAAAGTCGACACAGAGGCGTCACTTTCCATTAGCTTTAGCCACCATCACCATATTTGAGAGCCACTCAAGATAGGCTACTTCTCTGATCGCTCCGTTCTCTATCAATTTTCCTACCTCCTTTTCCATCGCTTGGGCCTTTTTCAGTGGAGGCACCCTTAGCTTTTGGCGAATAGGCTTGTGGCGATAGTCGACATTGAGGTAGTGGGTGGTGAACTCGGGGTCAATGCCCTCAAGGTCCACATGTGACCATGCAAAAATGTTCTTGTTGAGCCTTAGAAAGTCTATTAGCTGGCGGACCAAATCTTTAGAAAGGAAAGAGCCAATGTTCACTCTTCTATCTGGGTTCTCCTCACCTAAGACTACTGGGGTGAGCTCCTCGATTGGTTCTCTTCTTTTCATGGTGGCGTCGTCCTTTGGGTCAAGGACCTCCACTTGTAAGGCTTCTTCTGGCTTCCTTGTCTTTTGCTTGTAAAGAAAGGGATACCAATAGGAGTTGACAAAACAATCTTGCAACGTCATCAAAATCTGTTAGAGTTGTACCAACCACTGCATGTCTCAGTTTACTCTTTATCAACATTGAATTCAATATGTTGTCTTTTTTGAACTAGTATTTGACAAATGATGTTTTTTTTACCATGGTTGGTTGCCTTAATTTGCTCACGTCCATTGTGTATTCCAAATATAAGTTTCACATCACTTCTATGCAATCTCAATTCTTCTCCTCTAATTTGAAATCTACAGGATTTTTCATCGAAATATAATATCACTTTTAATACTTCATTATATGTTTTCCTACACCATTCTTTGTCTACCTTCTTATCTATTATTTTTGCAAACAATAACCACAAAGGTGTCTTCTGCAGGGCACGCTTGTGCTCGTCTCTAAACTCAACATCATCCATTGCCCTAACAATGACTTGCATGTTTGACTATTCACACTTCTTTTCTTTCTTTGTTCTCTTTATCTCTACTACAAAGGAAAAAAAAAACATAAATTTTTACTGTGTACCTGAATGACATCTCCACTATGAAGAACAAACCAGCCTTTTCTCTTTCTCACAGTGAAAAATTCTTTTCCAAAAATGTTTCAACGATCTCGCCCATAGTTCTTATTCACAGTGGAACCCTTGTTCCGCAACGATTTATGCTCTGTGTTATTCACAGTTGATGCCAACTTTTAGACTTCTTCACTGTGAAAACCTAAAAAAAAAAATCAAATTTGTAATGAGAATATTGAGACAATGGTGGTTTTGCGAAAGTTATGTCATTCACGTTTGAATTTCAAAAAGTCTAGCGATAATGGTGGAAGCTTGCGTAATTGGTGTCTCTTCCCTTTCCTTTTAGAGGTGTCTTCAGATGTTTAGGAAACCGTTTAACTTCAACAAAAGGGGTATTTTAGACTTTCGTTATAGTATGTGGACTTTTTTACTGATATTTTTAAAATTGATACTTTTTAACTAATATTTCTAATAATATGTACCAGTCTCCTTGATTCCCTTATTTGTTAGGAAAAATAGGGGCTAGCACACAAAATACATATGTAGGGTTGGGTCATTGTGGACATTATAATGTGACATCAATATCCACTGTATATACACAACATATACAGATTTTGACAAATGAAAAGTATCATAGCGTAAGTCAAGGATCGGCACACTGTGGACATCACAATGTTGTATCAATGTCACACTACATATAGACACCATATACCTGGTTTGCACATGGATGGTATCACACTGTGACTTCAATGTAACAGTTCAAATACACATCATATAAATATTCAAAAACATAGGCAAAGGAGACTAAAGATGGAAGAAAGGACGAGTTTGAGAGAGAAAATAGAGAAAGAGTGAGAAAAATTAGGGAGAGAAAATAAAGAGAGAGAGATAGCAACAACAAGAATCAGATCAAGAGAGAGAATAGGAAATCATTTTAAAAACTAATGGAATCCTTTCAAAAATCAAATAGTTAATTATCCTTTAATTTAGGAAACCACTTAACTAGTAAAATAGAATCAAAAAAATAAAGAAATGGCTAATAAGACTAAGAGTATTGTTTTCAAAATTTTAGTTGTTGAATAAAAGAGGAAGATTTAGTTCAAAATTCAAACGTGTTGTTCCACAAAAATAGAAATTGAATCTCACAATTAACTGGAAATTTTTTTTTACATAAATTAAATATTTAAAAAATAGCCAAAGTGTATCTATTCACAAAATATTTACACAAAAAAGACTTATACACAAAAAAATTATATTAAGATACTTTCTCACAAATAAGTAGTGTATAGTATACCTTTTCATAATTTTCCCTAAGAACCACAATTTCATCTACAATAAAACAAACACTACTGTTTTTCAATTCTTGATCATCACAAAAATGACATTTTCAAGACGATGCCAAATAGAACTCAAACAAAAATAAGGATGATATCAAATACTAATTTCTTTCTACGATTATTGTACCAAGAGAATGGCTAATGTGCTACATACTAACATTGCACAATCCAACCATTTCAATTCCCAAGTGGCTGAGTAATCAACTTTTATTCTGCTAACACAAGCGTTTTTCACAAAACAATTAAAACCACAGAGAGGGGAAGGAACAACAAACAAGAATAATCCCACCCTCAAATTTCACCTTCTCTTTTGAAGGTCTAATTGGTGCTTCCAAGAAATGGATAATCAGTGTAGCCAATAACAGGATCAGGTATGTAAAATGTCTCTCTATCGTACTTGTTCAGAGGAGCATTTAGCTCGAATCTCTTTGGCAAATCTGGGTTGGCCAAGAACAAACGACCATAAACAACAAGATCGGCACGGTTTTCAGCCACAGCTTTGATACCATCTTCCCTATTATAGCCCCCTGCGACAAGGAAAGTGCCATTAAATGCCTTTCTCATGGGCAGAAGACTGTGGGGGCTGTCGCTTTTTTCTCCAACAGTTACCATCCTTGGCTCAACCATGTGGCAGTAGAGAATACCATATTTATTCAATGATTCAGCCATATAAAGACCCAGGGCTTTAGGATTTGAATCTCCTGATTCACTGTAATTTGCAAAAGGAGAGAGCCTAATGCCAACTTTATCTGCTCCTATCTCATTACTGATAGCTTCAACAATTTCTAGAGCAAACCGACAACGGTTCTCCAGAGACCCTCCATACTCGTCAGTTCTGTCATTGACTTGATCTTTCATAAACTGGTCTATTAGGTAACCATGAGCCCCGTGGATTTCAACCCCATCAAAGCCTATAAATCAAACATAAAATATCAACTCATAAAACAAATGTCTTCCAATATGTATACAACATACACATATAAATGCTAGTGTGCCAAATAAATGAAGTAAAGAATGTAAAGCTCTGCTTGGTCTTTGTGAGAGAGGCATCGAGGTCACATTTTGATGAATATCAAGACCATGAAATATGTAAAATATTATTGTGGATGAAGAACTATAATCTTCTCCAAACAGGCAAGCATATTTGTCCTTTTCCTAGGGAGATTTTGAAGGAAGTTTCCTAGGCTTTATAGATACTAGGACAACAACATTAAAATCATTCTAATAACACATTTTACCCTTATTTACTAGTCTTATTCAAACTAATAGTCTCTATGTTTACTTTCGGAAGAGTAAAATTTGTCCTACAAAAAATTCATTATCCAGTTTATTTTCCGTTGTCGAGGGTCCATTGAGTACAAATTTAGCATTTGGCATTATAGCACAAGCTGGCTGCACTGAGATTTGTTAGTTTTCAGGATCTTATCATTGCCATGGGCAGTGACCAATTACAAAAATAAACAAAAAATTGGCAAATTTCAAATAATATGGCTCCTCTCCTTTACATGATGTTTTTCTCTTTCATCACCGTTACTTTGTCATCAAAAGGTTTCCTCCTTTTTTTTTCTGTGGGCACAATAAAGCCCATGAATGATGTTAAAACATAATGCTTAAGAAATGAAAAATAATTTAATCTAAAAATCACATCACACAGTCATTATTTTCTTTGATTTCCTCTCGGAGATGATAGATTTGTGACTTCTAACCTATGCAATAGAATCACTGAGAATACAACCAATGGAAATGTACCCTTAATATTTTCGGATCAATCATGGCCAATCTATAAATCATTTTTTTTTCATTCAAAGGACCATTAAACAAATTCGAATTCAAACTTGTCAAATTACATATAAATAAATTTCGCCAATTAATCAAAAAATCTACGATTTCAACTCGATTACATCACATTCGTACATCTAAACTTCAATTCAATTTCATCGCATAATTATCAATTCAAAAACAATATCATCAAATAATCCAACAAGTTTAGTTCAATTCACGTCCAATTTCATCAAATAGTCAAAACAATTTTGGGTAGATTCATAATAAAATAACCTAATACACCAACTAACACCGTCATTGTCAGACAATCAAATCATTAAAAACAAGTGACTCAATAGTGGCCATTAAGACCTAGGAAGGACGGACACAGGCACGGGTGTCATATCCAATACGATAAAGACACAAGGATACGACAAAGTTCCAAAATATAGGATACGGGTACGGCAATGATACGACTAATTAAAATAATATTATATATTTTTTATATAAATAATATTAATAATGAGACCTNCATATAATATTTAGATTTCTTAAGTTTAAAATGTTATGCTTAGACTAAAAATATTTCAATCAAAGTTAGAATGTTAAATATTTTAAATTTTACAACCAAAATTAGTGTTCTATTGTATTATTTATTGAAATAAAATTAAAAATAAAAATTTTAATTTTTTCTTAAAAATTCGTAATTAATATGAAATTAAACTATCTATTGAAATAAAACTAAAAAATCAAATAAGGAGTCAAAGTCATTAATAATAGAGCATGAATTTTTCAAACAAAATTCATGTTCTATTATGCCATTTATTGAATAAAAATCTAATTTTTTTTTAAAGAAAATCATAACTTATACAATTATACTATCTACTAGAATAAAACAAAAAATTTAAATAAGGGGTCAAACTGTAATGAACACAATACCTTTTAGCTTTAATTCGAGTAGTTTGGTATTTTAATTTGGTTTTTTAAACAACCAAATTAAATCATAATAGACAATATAATTGTATATTAATTACGATATTTTTAGAAAAAATTAAATTTTTGTTTTTGATTTTATTTTAATAAATGATATAATAGAACATGAATTTTAATTNTATTTTATTTTAGTAAATGATATAATAGAACATGAATTTTAATTATAAAATATTCTATCTTTGATTGAAGTACTTTTAGTCTAAGTATAATATTTTAAACTTAAAGGGTGTAAGTAATATATGTTTACAAACTTGACATCGACTAGTGATGGTTGTGTCCAAGTAATATTTATAAATATTTTAAACTTAAAAGATCTAAGTAATATTTGTCCTTTTTATGTGACAAGAGATTTTTCTTGGCGCCAGTCTCATTTGCTTTGTAATTGTCAAAACATTTATAAATATCAAAATGACATAAACACACACAAATGCATTATCATTGGGGTGAATAATGCATGATTGTATTCTAGTTGAGTACCATTACATGAAATTGTGAAGTACAATAAAAAAAAATGGGGGTCAAAGTGTAATTATATGAATCAATGGGGGCAAAATGACAAAATACTATTTTTAGAAAAATGTCTTACAGATTTTGTTCGGGTCCAGTCTTAATAGCGCTATAGTATTATGTCTTGCTGGGGCTGGAGCTGGGGGCTAGGCTTGGGACTAGGTATGAGGGTTTCGGATGGTGGAGGTTGTGGGTTTGGGGGTTTCGGATGATGGTGATGTTCGGATATGGGAGTTTTGGATGGTGGTGGGTGCTAGGGATGTGGGATAGTGATGGTGGTGTTGCTGGTGGTGATGGGGTTGTGGGCTAGTGATAGTGGTGTTGCTAGTGGTTTCGTATGGTGGTGGTGATGGGGCTGTGGGCTTAGATGGTGGTGTTGCTAGTTGCTGGTGGTTTCCTAGGGAATGGGTGGGGCTGTGGGCTACTGATTGTGTAGCTAGTGGGTTTCGTATCGAATGGGGGTGTTGATTTCCAATTTGGGGGAAAATAATAATGCTGGTTCGACCAACGTTTTTAAGGTTTAGAGAGACTAATGTTTATATGAGCTTTTAAAAAAAATAAAAATAAAAATATTTTTAAAACGTTGGTTGAAGTGACATTTTCAAATAAAACGTTACTGTAAATAACATTTTTTATTCTAAAAACGTCATTTCAATTAACGTTTTTAAAACTATTTACGTTTAAGAAATAGTTTAAAAATTGTTCTCTTTTGGTTGTGAGTTAAAAAAAAGCTTGAGTTGGGGTAAAAACACAACAAAATTTAAGAAATAGTTTAAAAATTGTTCTCTTTTGGTTGTGAGTTAAAAAAAAGCTTGAGTTGGGGTAAAAACACAACAAAATTAAGTAGGATTCACTTGTCTACATGTTGATTTGTTATTAAATGTTGGCATCATCACGTAACAATAATGATATGTTATTTCCATTGCGTTCAATATTTTATCGTACTAGAGAGATCTAGATTTGCAAAATTTATTTATAATTTCAATTAAATATACTTTTTTTGTTTTTGTTTTTTTGTGTTTTTGGGCTGTGGGGGATAAGGGAGCGGGGGGCAGCNGTGTCTACCAAACACCATTCCACCACAAATGCCAACTCTGCCTCTTACCAGGTACCCACATGCACCCCAAGTGGCTTAGTGCATTGGTATGCGTATTCAAATAGGAACTTATACTGGTGCAATTTTTAAGTAGATTTGATTAATAATTCAGAATCAAAAAGAGGTGGAGGAAGTTGCTGGGCTGCAGGCCATGTGAAAGTACAGCTTCCTTGGGAAAGGATTATTGTACCCATAATTTGGTAGGGACATTAGCACATTGCCATGGCTTTATACCCCAGGCCAACTTCATCATTTCATTATTGAAGGTTGCGGAATCCACTTGCAGGAGACTCTTGGAATTATAATTAATTTTCTTTTCTAAATTATTTGTNAAACTGAAAATAGGCGAAGGAATAAATAATCGATACATCACAATAACCAAATAAACTGGTTATTTATAGAGAGAAATTTTGCATACGCCAACCAGTGTTTTTTGTCGTTGCGAGCGCCCACTAGGCAGGCAGATCATGTACGTTTCCCAATGCATCTTGCTTTCTTCGAGGAATATTTTAAAATTTATATTTTTTTTATATTATATTATTAATATATTAAAAATATAAATTAATTGTACTANGAAAATGATAGAAAATATATTTTTACGCATATATTTGGTTATAATGAAAAATTTGTAAGAAAGTTTTAAAAAATTTTCATTCTATTGTTTAAAAGAAAATAAAGTTAAAAGAAAACTTGTCTAACTGTCTAAATTATCCTTAATTATATAACAATCGGTCTAAAAAATATGGATTATAATTCAAATTAAATTTTTTTTTTAAAAAGTGGCTTGTAACCTAATTCTAGGACAAGAACCAACACNTCTCATTTTAGTCCATAATGTTTCAATTGTATCATTTTAGTCCCTAAAATATTGAATATATTTTTAGATGATCTTTCAAAAAAACAACGTCCAGATTACTAATAATTTTTTATGATAAACTTATCACGTAATATTTAAATATAGACAAAAAATAATTTTAATAGCACTTAAACAAAATTTGAGTACTCTTAACAAAAAAANCAAACACAGTTTCATCCAATCAAAAACCACTCTCTTCAACTTTCCACTCTCTCTTCTGTTTTAATTCCTCTCATTCCTCTACTATTCTCTCTCAACACTAGTAGACATTATACTAATTGGGAGGATGAAGACAGAGAGAAGGGATGAAATCCCGCAAACCGCAAAGGTCGTCCACTAGTGTTTGTATATGTACATAATCAGATTAGGGGGAGAGGTCTTGGGAAGGCCTTCCTCCCCGTTTGCTTGANATTAGCTATTCAACTAAAATTTCAATAGAAATTTAGTCAAAAAATATCCAAATTATTTTTTTGTCTATATTAAATATTACGTGACAAGCTTATAATAAAAAATAATTAACAATCTAGACATTGTCTGCTTGAGGGAGCATATAGAAACATATTCAACACTTCAAAGACCAAAATGATGCAATTAAAATATTGAGGATCAAAATGAGACAAACTCTATACTTTGAAGACCTCCAGTGCAATTAACCCTAAAAATATTATAAAGTGATCTTTTAATTAATTTTGTTGTTAGTGTTAATAAGTTAGTTTTAGATAAAAAAAATAACAAAAATTAAAAAAAGTGTTACATTATAATATTTTTAATACATTAAAGATATAATACAAAAAATTTAATCTTTAAAATAAAAAATTTAAAATCTTTTAGAATACAAAATATAAAAAATAAAAAAAAACCTTCTTTCCTTCTCTTGTTTTTGTTTTCTTTTTTTGGATCAATGTTTGTTTAAATTATTTTTTACTAACGTTTTACTCTCGAGAATTATTTATTAAATGAATAGTCAAATTTACAAGTTTAGTTTAGCATTTTCGTGCAATGTTTAGCAAATTTCTATATCTATTCATTTATTTGACTGACCAATCTAATAAGTTTGTCAATTTATTACTTTAATATGTTAAAATTAAACTTAAACACAATAATTTTGTTGAATTTTGTGTACAGCTATGAGGAGTAAATCAAATTCATACATAAACATCACATTATGTCAGCAATGAGCACATGCATGACTCTTTTGCTTTCTTTCTCTTTCTTTTGTGAACGGATCTCCTTGGAAGTGAAGGAGACCCGTTCACTTTCAAGGGTCATCATTTGATGGCCAGGCTTGTGTTTTGATTTTTCGCTTGGTATGGCAGGCTTTTGTGTAGTCGACGTGATTTTTGGCATATTTGATATTTATTGATGATTAAGAGTATTTTCAATCTTACTCTTTAAAATAATTAATTAAAATATATTTAAATATTATATTCACTATTTTAATCATTCATTTTTATAAATTTACTCCAATGACATTTTCTATTTTAGTTAACTACTACAT